GGAGTAGTAGGCTGTTGGCTATATTATGTTGATTAATTTGATTAGTGTTTATTTATGCATTAAGTTTAGTTTATGTTGTTATGTTGATTTTAAATTTAAAAAAATATATATATCCCTAATTTTAAAAAGATATTACTTAGTAAGGGGAAAAACTTAGGAGAAAATTAAAATTAACTTGTAATCCATCCAATAATGCTTGTCATCATAAAAAAAAAGAGATTATTGGAATCTGGAAGCCTGGACTTATATTTTGATGATAATAAATATTATTGGATTGTATTTACTTTCTCCTGTGATTTATTATTGTATATATTTTTTTGTGAGCTCCAATGTTTCAGGTTAAACATACACCAAGCACTTCCAAAAAATCATAGTTCAAGACTAAGTAGTATAGGATTGATGATTTCAAGAGTCTGTAATTTTATCTTTTCTTACGTCACTTTTTTGTAAAGGGTGCTTAGTAGCTTAGCAATGATGCACACACATAAAACGGGGATTGAAAGATTAAAATTATAAATATTTTAATTATTCTACAACTCATAATGTAAGATCTACTGCTACAAAAATTAATTAAAATACTTAATTTAACTGAGAAAAAAATTTTGAAATAAAACTAATCGTATAGTACGAGCACCAAATCGTACTGGATGATCTGTTGCAATTAGAAACCCTTTCGTAAATTAAATTAAGTAATAATTTAAATTTTTTATTTTAAGCTATTCATATAGTATGAACGATACTGCTGGGGAGAAAGCAGTAAGAATATATATATATATAGTATGAACAATATTGTATTATACGATGTGTAAATCATTACCTAATTTAATACATGTGATTAGTCAAGTAAACAAAGGTTTAATTAAAATAAAAAATCATATAGTGCAATGCCGATCATACTGGATGATTGGCAGAGATAAAATGTGGTCGTCCCAGTGATTGTCCTAGATGAAACCTTAATTATTGAACTAATCTTACAATATGATGTAAATCATATCAGATGAATGGAAGAGAAGATTTCCAATCATCCTGGAGTTTTTCCTATACAATATAATAAATATTAAACTAATCATATTGTACAATCCCATGATCGTACTGTAATTTACTTTTAGCATTTTATTTTTCCTGCGTTTTAATTTCTTGAACATTTATTATTCCTATAAATCTATATTTTGATTATCAAGCTTTGTTTGGTTTGATTTTTATTGGAAAAAGAAATTAAAATTTAAAATTTAAAATAAATAAAATATTTGTCATTTATTTTTGTCATAAAAATAAAAAAGAGCAAAATTATATTATTTTTATTAAATTATTTCGCTTATTTATAACTCCACTTTCACTTATGTCGCCATTTTTCCTCATACACTCACATATAGAGAGTGAGGTCAAAATCCCTTCCAAATCTACCCTAAGCTGAAGGGGCTAGAAGAATACGTATAGTGTTACATTACCTTTCACACCAAAAGTGAGGCAAAAATCCCTCCCGCATCTACCTTAAGGAAATGGGGAGAGAATAAAACATTCAAGGCCCTTATCACATAATAGAGAGTGCATTTTTTCACATTTAAAATATCTCCAATGCCATGTTATGCTCAATGTAAATGCAATGCAATAAAAATTAAAAAATATAAATCTAATGTAATGTCCAATTAATACATGAATTTCCTGTAAAAATCTAAATTGTATGTATACCAGCATACTCACTGAATTTTTCTTGTTTCATTTCCAATTTCAAATGGGCATTCATATGAATATTTTAATACTTTTAAATAGTTATTTCAATTGCCATAAAAGCTTTAACCAAAATATATACTCAAAAATTTGTGCTGCCAAAAACTCAACCGATAAATATTCGCATTTTTATAATCAAAATGTTCAAAATAGAGCATAAAACAATGTATAAAAGGTTACACATTGAGAAAGTTGTAAAATCCAAAGACAAAAACATTTTAATCCATAACTTTCTATAAAATAGGGTAAATTAAGATTATAGATCGGGATTCAAAAGTCAAAACCATGCTTTATAAAGTTTCTTAACTGGCCTGACTTTCAAAACCCGAGCTTTTGCCTCCAAATCCTCTCCCTCACTTTTTCTTCTATCTTTTCTCCTTCCCTTCTCCTTTTATCTTCTTAGGCAAGGCAGCTGTGGTGAATGAAAGATGGCAAATGATTTTAGATATTTTAAAATTATAGTTCCACTATTTGGACTTAGTGTCACGACACTTACCTTTCCAGCGTCGTAGGTCCTAAATAACCTTCCATATGCTCCCAATATATCCTCACATGAGATTCAACACCAGGATAGTACATCTTGACACAGTAGCGCACACCCAAAACCTCGATACCGCAACGGTGCCAACCCTTGCACCTATTGAGAAATTTTCAAACCTTGGATTTTCACTTTTCCAACCTCAACATAGGTTCATTCAAGCCCCATTGCACATTTTAAATCTTACAGTTGCACATTACATCAACTACAAATGAGTATTTAACTTAATTAACTTTAATTACCCGAGTTTCAAGACAACGAATATTACAATCAACATGGGCTCATTATTACTGGTGGGTTCCACTGGAGATTGAATCTGTGCCACTTTTAGATCAAGAATTGCTACCTTAGGAATAACGATCACCATTGTTTGTGCTAACGAGCTCCTTACAATATAGAGATTTTCTTAGCATACCTCTCAATGAGAGGCGCATCATTAAAGCTTGAGGAGAGGATTACCCTCAACTTGCTTTTCTTAAATATCACCGCCTTACTAGGCTAAGTCTCTTTGGCCTTTTATCGCCTTGCTCGGCTGTACTTCTACATCCTTACTTGGCTTCTTTGTAGCAAGGTTACTCGACCTAACCACAGTTGCTTACTTCTTTGTGGGTTGGTTAGTTCCCCTCAACTTTCATTGACTTCCTTTTACAGAGAAAGATTTCCTCAACTTCTTAATGTCCATGTCGGCATAATTAGAAGGTCTTAAGTTGGGCATCTATCAAGAGAGCTCGTAGAAAGCACTTAGAGAATGATACAAGGGAGAGTAAATGAGAATATATATACATGTATACGTTCAAAGCAAAAAAAAAGAACTATCAGACATATTTTGTCCAAACAATCTTTCAAACAAAATGAACTTTCAGATATATTTTTCAAATAAATATATATTAAAGATATTTGTCCAAACATATGCATTATGAAAACATATAAAGTCAATTTTCCTTTTCTAATTTAATGCTAAATTTTGAATATCATGAGACCCGATATTTAACAGATTTATATATCTCTAGCTAATTATCTTTTCTCTCAGAGCAACTCAGTGCCCACTAGCTCTATAATCTTCTTCTCCTCTTACAATCTACTTCTCCAAAATCTAGAGCATATTCTTATGATCCTCTTCTCTATTATATTGGTCCACCCTTTACTCATCACCAGCACATGCAGAACCCTACTTGACGGAATTTTATTTGGTCCAGTTGACCGAATGCAAGGAACATCCGGTTGTAGGCAAAAACGCGCCTATACCGAGGTGTACCGAGTTTTTCAAAAAACTCGGTACACCTCGGTATAAGCGCGTTTTTGCCTACAATCGGATGTTCCTCTGCATCCGATCGGAGGACGTAATAATTGTTCCTACTTGACACGGCCCCTCACGGCGCTTTCCTATCTTCATTTCATCTAGCAAGGAAATCGGCATCAGTGCAGCCTACAAAGCTTTATTCCTTTTATAATCATTTAAATCCTAAATCTCAAACTAAATAGCCAAATAATGTATAAAAATTTCACAAACAGCATTCAAAATTTAGCACAAAATTCAATAAATTTTAATTTACATAATTTTTTTAATTCTACTTTGAGTTAAAATCCAGGTATAGCCAAACAATCCCGTCTTTTAAAGAGATAATATGATATTGCATAAAAAATAGAGAAAATGCTTTTTTCATTAAATCACATATTATACAATGAGAATGATGAAGTCCTAACCTCATAAGCTAAAAAATGCCTCTAATCTAAGATACTGCTTAGATACTAAAATAGTTTTGACACAACATAAAAAAGGGGCCACGATGAATTAGACTTCGTTTGGGATGGCATTTTTATTATTTCTTAAAACAGTTTTCTAATTTAGAAATTAAAATTTTTATATTAGAAAGTTATTTTAAGATGTAGTAAGAAAGTCATCCCAAACGAAACCTTAGAACATGAAAATTATATTGTTTTGCAAAACCCTTATAAGTCAACCTAAAACACTACAAGCATAGTAAAATGTAAACCTTCTCACACAAACACGGATAGCTCACTATTATACACCTGATAGTGATCACAATTAGAACTTAAATACAATAATACCTGCACGCTCAATCACAATAGAGCATAAGTATTTAATTGCATCAATCATCACATAAGATGAATATAAAGAACAAATAAATGTAAGTAAAAATTAAATTAATTTTAACGTGGTTCAGATTTATTAGACCTCTAGGATTAGTTAATTTTTTAAATAATTATAATTTCATTTAATTATTATTTTCTTTCTATTTAAAAAAAAACTATAATGAAAAATTATTTTTTTACAACAAAAATAACTAAATTGATATCTCCACATCAAATTTCCAGCCAACTTTATAAAATACTACATCCATAAAAAAATTGTAATAATCAAAATTAGTCAGATGCTCAAAATTGTTGAAGAGTGGCTGAAGCATTAAAAGCTCCAGTTGTGACTCGCGTTAGTGCGATATATATTTCATAAAATTGTCTTATTTCTTGAAATTGCGACTAATTGTGCTTAACAAAAAAAATCATTTCCTAATTGTTACTTTTTGAATCAAATAGATTTAACTCGCATTATTCCATGATTTTTGAAAGGCGTAATTCATCTTCATTTTAATTATTTTTTGAAAAATAAAAAGTGAAAATTGACCAGAACAAGACCTTAGATTTCTAGCTGATTTTGAGGCACAAAATAAAAATTAAAAAAAAAATTCTATTTTGACATAGAACTCGATCAATATCCACTTGAATAGACTCTAATGCTACCCAGCTATCAAAGTAAGAACAAAGATTCTCGTTTCATTACAAAGAGCGCCATGAAACTTTTCCCATCGAACTATGATAATTTTATATACATCACATAAAAGCACGTAGTGCTCTATAAGACGTTTTTACATTCAATATTCCAGTTGCAGTACGTGCCCGACAAAATCGTCACAAACACAAAACAACAGACATACCTAAGAGCCTTCCCGCGGCATGGACTGATGTTCTGCAACAATACTCTGCTTAAACTTTGCTGATGCGAAAAGCATCAGAATAATTTAACCTGATTATAATCGTGAAAAGGAAACATAAAACAGAAGGATTCAATTTCAAAGATTGGGTACCTTATCAACAAAATAACAATGGATATCACCGACCTCATTCTCTGCCATGAGCATAAGCATCTCAAGACGCTTATCAAATTGAACTGCACTGTCATCTCTCTTATCAAGTTCTGCACCCTCAGCCTCAAGCCACTTCTCTCGCAAGTCATCAAGAAGATTGGCTTGACCGGAGTAATCTATGGACCCAGGAGCACTAGGGCGCGTGGTACGAAGAGAGGAGTCTCCAGAAGGTGGAGGAAGGGTCAACAGCATCGCCCTAAATTCTTGCGTCTCGGCAAATGTCTCAAAGTTGCATGCCATGATATCTAAACAGTACTCTCTAATCTTCATGACCCCGTACCTGCAAGATTCCATAGGCCATTTCAACAACGTAATGGATTATGAGAAAAAGACGAACCTCCCAAAAATTTTGATGTTGAGAAACACGTTTATAAAACTGGTTGCCCAAGAAAGAAGCAACAAATTCTAGATGATTTACATTACTTAAAACCATAAAACGATCACCAACTACTCTTCTCAAATTTCTTTGAGTTCAGCATAGAGATTGGAAAAAGAATGCCAAGAGGAGGTGAAATTATTCTGTGCGGACGC